CGAAAAGAGTGGGAGGGGGATGAGAACGAATGTACTTTATTTTCAAAGGATCACAAACTGAGCACGGAGGATCGTCTTACGTCTGGCCCTTTGAAGCATTCCTCTCTCACACTACAGTTGTACTCCCTTTAAAAAACTCGTTATGTTAATACATCCGTACACATAAGAGAGAGAGAGAGGGAGAAAGAGACAACCCACCCCCCCCCCCTCCCACAAGGGAGTAAGAGACAGATAAGGAGGAAGATCAAGAATGCAGCAAGAAGCAAGATAGATGAACTAAAAGACAAGAGGAGGGATGGATGAATCAAGAACAATGTACAAGGAGAAGGAGAGAGAGGGAGAGAGATAGGGGAAAGAGAGAGCAACGGAGAGGATCAGGGAGACAATTAGACAGAAAGACGTTGGTGAAGCAAACAATATGGAGAGTGAGAGAGTGGAGTTGGGGAATAGGGGTAGGACAGAAATATGGAAAGAGAGAAAAAACACGAACAAAGGACTGATGAAGAGAGAAAGATTAACGAAGAGAAAATATGGAGGAAGAACCGAAGACAAATAATCAGGCCGACAAAGATAGGCATATGATTTGAGAGAAAAGAAAGAAAGGGAAGGAGGCTGGGTGAAAACAGAGAGATTTCGCCCTCTTTCACATCGAAAAGAATACACCATTTTACGTGCCTTAAGTGCGCCGGAAGTAGTTTGAGAAACCATAACGGCAGCTTCTTGGGCTCTAACGAGCATTTTCCATTTGGAGAAGTTAACTCCGATTGCGTTTTCGTGTTTTTTGGAACTTCATTGCTAATTATTTTACGTTATCTTTTACAGCGCTGCAGACAAATCGGCACCCATCTTGTCTGATACAAAAGAAATAGGGCTATTCATTTGTTTATATTTTTATTTGACGGTCAGATAAGAAACTTAAAACAACAGCATAATGCTTTTCGACCATGCCCAGCGTGGCTTATGTTGCGAACTGCAGATTCAGGAAATGGCGAGTTGCTTGTTAAAAGAGATTACTGGTAATGCCTTATGCGAATAATTGCGTGGGCAACTACTGATCTGTTCTCACTGTCTAGTATCGGACTGTTTGTGTTAGCGCTTCTAAAGTTTGCCTTTAACGCATACTATTAGCTTTTATCAGATTGCAGTCTTAAGTCCGTGTTGTCAGCAAGGGGCAATGATGGAAACTGTGTGTGGTTTTTGTTGGCACCATAAGGGAGCACTACAGGGTGACCTGTTGGCTGTGAACTTGAAATTGCCATTCTCTAATTCTTCTTCTTCTTTACGTCCTCTTTTACCGCTTTGGGTGTCGAAGGAGATATAAGGTCCTTGGTCGTGCTCTTCAGGCTGCTTCGAACATAGACACATCGTGATTATGTAGAATCTCTTTGATGTTATCTTCCCATCTTTTTCTTGCTTTACCTGTTGCTCTTCATCCCTCTCTTCTTTTGGTGTATGCCTTGTTATAGCATCAGAATGCATTCTCTCCAAGTGGGCAAACCATTTGATTTGCTGTCTTTGTATGTAATTTAGAATTGGTTCTGTGCCGGCATTATCTCGTATGACATCCTTTCTACTTTTATCTCTTCTGGTCGCTCCTATAGTCTTTTTTAGACACCTTATTTCCATGGTTACTAACTTTCCTTTATGTTTTGTTGTGAGTGACCACGTCTGGCACTGGTAGCATGGGGGGGGGGGGGGGGAGTGTGAATATGCTTTGTATGAGATGTCTATTTGTGTTGATTGGGATTGCCTTATGCTGTAAAAGGGAGCTAGCTGTCCCAATACTTGGCCAGCTTTACTGCATCGATGTTAATTTGCTTTCTTTAGTAAATGTTGTTCCAAGATATTTAAATTCGGATGCCTGTTTAATATATGTATGCTCAAATGCTATGTTTAAATTCTGCTTCTTTCTTCTTATTGACATTACTTCTGTATTTTTAATGCTGATTCTCATAATATTTGATTTACATGGCGACATCACGGTACAGACTAACGTTGTGACATCATTATGACAGTTTACAGATGGCCGTCCCACTTTTTACATGGCACACAAGAGAAGCAGCATTCTGTTTTCCTTATTTTAGTCAGTGAAGGGGTGAAACCTGCATAAATTTGTCGGCGAATGAATGTCCAGTATGGTTATGCATGCTTGTCCTTCCAGCAAGTGTATGAGTGGAGTAAGAAGTTTACAAACGAATCTGATCAGGTACACCGAATAGTGACTTCAAGGTTGATTGTAGCCCCTGAAGGCCTCGAATGCTACACTGAGAGACAATCCTCACTGCACTAGACTTTCATTTGCTGCTGAATTTCTACAGGTTTCACCCCTTCACTGATTACAAAAGGTTAAAAGAACGCTGCTCTTGTGTTCTGCATTTCAAAAGTGAGGCGGCTGTCTTTATGACCTCATCGTGTACATCCGTGAAGTAATGTTAGTTGCTTAACACTCTTTGCATTCTTAACAACGATACTGACAGTTTGCCAGCCACAGCCAAGTATGAGAGGCACACTGGACGCGATAACCAGCACAGGAATTGACTATTAACCGCGCGACGCTGATGAATATGTTGAAGGGGAATCAGGGCATCTATGGATGTATCCTGCGTCCTGTGAAGGTAATTCAACTCTTAACTCGTAACTTACCAGACAATGGCATAATGATTGTCATTTTGATCACACTTTTCCGGGAGCCTCCTCGTGCTTATTTGTGAGTGCGGAGATTTTGAGGGTACAGTGCCTCATTGTATATGATAGCCAATCTGCGATTAAGCCTCCTGACCTACTATGACGTGCATGCAAGTATACAGCCCTCTTGCTGTTTGATTCCCTTGAGTCCTCCGGAAACTTAGACCATTGGAAAAACTAAATAATAAAACAATTACGTTTAGAAACACATTAGAAACATTTTTACACTTGATTGATTGAACCATCGAATTTTACAATTACATTTGGAGTTTTAATTTGTAGGTAACAAACATGGCATCTTTAAAACATAAAACAACTTGACTGACTTAGACTAGTTTGCGATAGTCCGTATTTGATAAAAGCATAACACTGTTTTCAATACAATATTTTCCAGGTATAAGTTTTAAAAATGTAGACACAAATAATAAATTTCACAATTTTTTTTTCATTGTATTTCTTCGGGTGCAGTCAAACAAGGTTTTCAACAACATATAGCGAAACCCAAAACATCAATATTTTCAAATGAAATACAGAAAACACAGTGTCTCATGCTACTTGTGTGCTTCTAACTGACTCCACTTGTGACCATGCGTTTATTCTTAAATTTTCTTTGGCTTGATGTACATAGTAACAAACGACAATTTGATCTGTGCTTTTTCAGTGCAAAGTATTTTTGTTTATGGCTCACTATACGCTGATGTGTACTCTGATGTACCAATGCACCTGACTAGATATAGCAATACAAGTCTTGCGATAAATTGTGGAATATAATTTGTGTGTCTTAATTACGAGGAAAAGTCACTGAGGAAAGGCGTTGTAACCTAGTCTGCGTGGAAAAGTATGCAGAAAAGCAACAACAACAAAAAAATATTTTTAGAACACATAGTAGCCCCTCTGCAACATCAAAGTTCGTGTGCTGATTTAGCGGTATGCGCATGCGCAACAGCTTGTACAAACTGGCTGCAGCACTGTTACCATACACCGTGGAAGTGCGATGAGCTGTTATAATTATTATTATTATTATTATTATTATTATTATTATTATTATTATTATTATTATTATTATTATTATTATTATTATGTGTATGCATGTGTGTGGTGCAGGGGTTGTTAAACAAATTCAAGACACAGGCTTTAGCTAGGATGGTCACACTGACTTTGTTTGGGATGTCAATGGCCCTGTATTGATACATTTCCAGGAAAGGTGTAAAACTGTGACTAGTGCTTGTTTCAGTGACATGTTAACGAACAAGATAAAGACCGCCCTCCGATCGAAACGCCGGGATCTTCTCTCAAAGGGAGATTTGTTGCTGTATGACAACGCTCGCGCCACACGGCTGCGTGTACTGTGGATACACTATAGACAAAGTATAGATTTGAAGTACTGAAATCTCCAGCATACAGACCAGGCTTGGCACAATCAGACTTTCATTGGTTTGGCCCCTTGAAAGAATATTTGCGGGATCAGAGATTTGCAGACAACGAGGTGATGTCGGTTGTGCAGTCTTAGTTACTGGCCACACACTAAGCTTCTACTTTGCGGGCATCTGCAATCTTGTGGATCTGTGGACTGCACGTGTTGCAAGACAGGGAGACTGTGTCGCGAAATACGACACATAACAATTTTGTTCCGGCCGCTTAGAAACCATTTATTATTGCAATTGCCTTTACTTAATGACTTTTCCTCGTATTTAAAATAATACTGCATCACGTTTGAGTTAACAGGATTAGGTGAGTTAATTCGTTAGGTAATACTTCTCTCCTCTTTCTTCAACATTCCGAGCTCTTGAGGTTTATTGCTGCGGACTTCACCCGTCTTCATTTATGTCGGTGATTGACCTGCTCATTGCAGTTGGTGACTCCAAGTGTTTACAAATCTGCCTGTATATTATCTCGAACCGTCTTTTTAGTCTGTCTTGTGGTCTTCACCCACTTAACATTTTTTTTTTTTTTTTGTAGGCAGTTCGCATAGAGAACTATGCCTGGTGATAAACTGCAATATAATGTGTGCATCAACAATATGAGTCAACAGAATCGGCTAAGTAATTTTAAACCTGGTGCCGAGTACTTCTCTTCTTGTTTAGCATGCTGAAGCCTTGAGTTCACTGCTGCAGATATCGCCCGCTCCATTAATCTCAATGATTGGCCTTCTCTTTCCAGCTACGGGCTCCAAGCATTTGTAGGTCGTTTATTCATTTTCAGCACATCTGTGTACTCAGTTTTTGTCTCATTGTTAAATGCTTTTCTCCCAGTATGCTCAACCACTGCAGTCAATACATTTGATTTAGTTAATATCATAAGACATGTGACTCCAGTCAGTGAACAGCGTACCCATTGGCAACGTGATACTGGGGAGGGTCAACTATGACACTGGCGTATGCGGTCTGCGGGATGAGAGGATATGAGCTCTGTGCCTGCATGACTGCAGTTTGGTAAATGTTTGCTTCAGTGTAGTTGTCGTAGGCACATGCAGCTGCTTTGACACAGCTTCTGTAGTCATGTGTGGTATCGGGCATAATTTTATCATTAGCCAGATTGGTGTCGTAGAATTTGTTTGACTGTGTGTGTCCATCTGAGATATCGTATGTGGTTTCTGACAAATGCTGGGCATCGTTTATCACATAAAGTTTGTTGGAGTCATTGTGTGGAGATAGCTCATAGAGTTTGTTTGACTTGTTTGCTGAAGACATTTCATAGAGTTTGCTGGGGTCGTTGACTGAACAAGTTTCACTGAGTTTGATGGACTCGTTGACTGAAGGGGTTTCATAGAGTTTCTTGGTTTCAGTGGATGAAGATGATAGTTCATAAGGTTTGCTAGACTCGGTGGAAGAAGATAGTTCATACAAATTAGCAAGAGGTAATGACAAACTGCAGAAGCTACTGCCTGAGTTAGTAGAAATGTTTACTCGGTCAGTCTGCGAACTGGATGAACTAGGCGAGTCAAAGACTTTCTCACTGACCCTGTCAGAGCATGGGATCATGCCGTATAAAGGATGTAAATTTTGCTGTTCGTGGGATATACGAAACGGATCTCTGTTGTGGGTTGATGATTCAGTAGAAGCTGGTTTCGTGCTGTCGGGTTGGGATGTTCTTGTGTGTTTAATGTTATTGATAGACAGTGCCGATTCGGGGAAGACTTGCGACTGGAGGTTGTTCTGACTCTGATTAACAGGTTGTTTGTGGCGGCGATGACTATGATTGGGTAGATTGCCGAGCTGAGTAGAACTGTTGCTATCGAGTTGCTGTTGCTGGTGATGATGCTGTAACTGAGAAGGTTGGGGGCGGATACTAGCAGCAGACGATAATGTAGAAGCTAAAGACGATGAAGGCATTGATGAACGTATGCTTAACAATGAAGAGTTTTGAACAAACGAGAAAGTAGTTGGCAAAGTTGGCGTCGATGGTGAAGCGTGTGAACTATCAATATTAGGGTTACTTTCGTGGCTTTTATCCAGGTTATCTGACAATAATGATGATGATGGTTGTCTATCCGGTGACGAGAGGATTGGCTCAACGTTTGACTGGTGACGAATTATGACAGACTGATGAACTACACTTTCTTTCGGTGGGGACACCGTATTCTGAATCGTTAAACCTCTGTTTTCTGCTGTTTCACTAAAGCAGTTTTCATTATTTCTGCTGGACACCACATACTTCTCGTTGATTCTACCAGTGTCGGCATCGGCATAGCTAGACAAACCTTCGTGGCTTTTACCGGTGCAACTTGCCGTTATGTGGTTAGATATATTATGTCCAGTGTGAGCAGCAGGCATATTTTGGTGCATTTGTTTTTGCTGACTTTTTCTACACAGTTTCTTTTGCTGCTGGTTTTGTTTATCTGTGTACTCTTCACTACCAACATCTAAGTCTGACGCTGAGGATTCCGACTTGTTACTAAACTGATCGCTGTAATGAAAAGCTGTGTGAGCTAAATGTTCCAATGAGCTGCTCTTGGAGTACTCAATATTAGAAGCTCCTCCTTCAGAAGCAATATACTCACAACCCTTTTGATGATCAAAATTACTCTGAAAATGATTCTGGCTGGTGTTCGAAACGTGCGCCAGTCTTGACGTATTTGCCTGGGCGGCGCTTTGAATCTCAGCATCCGAAGAGAGGTATCCTGGATACGCCGCTGGATCCCTAGCCGGGTAGTACCGTTCTTCGTAAGCTCCGTCCAGACTTCGGCTGTCCACATAACTCTGGTGTGGATCAGTTGCACCTGCTACTGGGTAAGGAGAAAAAACACAAGCAGTTTCCCTGTACATCGCCATCCCTGGATGTGGGTAAGCTGTAGAGTACAAGGCACTGTAGCGGTCCACACCGACCGTTTCTGGGGAAGATGAATACACCATGTTGGCGTAGTTCTGAAGAGGTTTGGAGTGAACGTCAAATGGACTATAATCTAAAATCGTCTTGTCTAAACTATACTCTGAGGCCAATTCTGTCGTGGATTCTGAAGTTGCCAACGGGTACGGCGAACGTCTGTGTTTGTGTTTTGATGGGCGGGATTTACCACTTAGATTGCTGTTGCTGAAAGTACTGCTGCTGTTATTGCTGCTGTTAACACCGTTTTTTACTGCCGAGTAGAGAGATTGTTCTTTTGAAAACATAGACTGGTCGATATGTACTTGCACGTCTTTATGAAGAACCTCACTGGGGAAGGAAGTGAACATAATGTGAATAGTGTGAATCGTGTGGTGCATAAAGTGCAAAACAATTAACGTGAAATAATGATTCCCGATATATATGTGACTTATGAGTTATTATATTATATGAGTCTAAGTCAGCTTTAGCGTCTGATTTGGCAGCAGGTAC